CCGAAGCCGGCTGGTGGACAACTGCACGTGCATTCGTTTGCCTTGAGGAAATAGATGTAAGAAGATTTATTATAACTTACTGACAGTCTTTATCCTCCCCCAAATGAAAGTAAAAAGTTGGCATAAGACACACATACATACACACACTCCTGCAGCCCTATTTCAACAACCCCCTCCAAAAGAAGTTAAAGTTTATGAGAGAAAATCTGAGTCTTCAGAGACCAGTCATTACTTTCTACTTACACCTGGTAGATAGGATTTCCTAGTTATGTGTCCACAACTTACCTCCCCCAACTCCACACACAGAAATCGACAATTTTCACTGCTAAGACTTATTAATTGCAACAATTCAAAACAAGCCAATTTTTACAAATCACACACCAAACAAAACATCAGTTATTCCACATTTGGAAAGCATCTTACCAGCCAGCCTCTCACTGAATTGCCCAGGGCCACATAAAGCCTGAGCATTTACTGTAGCTTGAAAACCACAGCAATCTTCTGTCCATCTTGTTTCTTCCAGCCATTTTTACAGGTGCCACCAGAAGGCTACGTTGGGTACACAAATCAAATCATACCTGGCTCATCCTCTGCTTCCTCTCCAGTACCTCTAGCAGTTATAAGACCCTCCAGATTCCAACCCCACCCCCACTTCATTCAGCAAGGGTGAAACCATGCCTAGTGTGGAGAAGAAAACTATTTGACCAAGGTCTCTCAACAGCAAGAATTACATCTTAAAGCAGTACTCGTTTCTTAGGGACACTGTTGCCATGTAATGAACAATCAGCAGGTCATCCTGTCATTCAACTTACAATTCTTTACAAGGGATTATTTACTTGTTAGAAAAATGCAGCATTTGCCTAAAGACCTATAAAACAAGCCACACCCATGCTTCTAGGAAATGACCAGCGCTAGGAATGGTTAAGAGAAGAAACAATCTCTACCCTGACTTCCATACAATCAAGCCCAGGAACCCTTCCTAAGGAAAGCATCCAAGGTCTTTAAAGGCAGTTTGAGGATAGTAGTAGTCTTGGTAGTATTTAGTCCCAAACTGCTTGACTTTGGAGATCAAATCAATGCTTTGCAGAGTGTGCAGCCAAAAGGCAGTGAGCACATAGAGAGCAGTGGCCTCAAGTCACTCTCAAGGGCTACTCAGAACAAATCCCCCCTGCGTGGTCAGCACGTTGCTCTCTCTTTAACAGACCTTGTTCTGGATGCAGCTATGTGACAGGCCTGGTGCTCCACCATCCCGTGGGAAACAGCCCAATTCAGGACGGCGGCCAGAACAGCACCATGCACTGACCCTCAGAGGGGAGCGGGTTAGTGCAGTAACATCACTGTAGTCACACTCAGTTCTGCCTAGTGTCTAAGATTCCTACCATCCCAGTTTCTAGCCATTGTCACCTCCAACTTAAAACCCTTTCTTTATCAGAAACAAAGGTGCTCAAGCTTTTACTTCCAGCTGCGAGCACAGGGGCGGCATCCACCGTCACCACTGACACGATCAATGGATACCATACGGCAGTATTCTCAGAAGGGCGGCATTTAGCCATCCCATTGTTTTCAGGGATTTACATACTCCCATTCTAATGCTCAGAAATTATTAAGGGCCAAATGCTAAGACAGAAACACACAGGTTTTTGCCCCCGTTTAGATTCCAAATGTAGAGTTCCCTATAACTGTGATTGAGGGTTACAGGTTACTTAGCTTTCAAACACACATGGTGACATTAATCTGTGTAATAGACACCAACTGTGCTCCAACTCTGAAGTCGGGGTAACCATGACAATCCAAAAAGCAACCAATCCAGAGGCCCAGAAGTATATTTGTAAGAAAAAAATTTCAATTTAACTTGCTCTTTACTTTTATAGATTCTGAGTCCATTTTTTTGAGAAACAAAATCCAGTGATTTTTCCATGATATTCTGTTAATATATCTAATTTTCAACCCTGTTTTATTTGGAGACTGGAACTCTTAAGTTTATAAGCATCTGTGGCAACTTCTATCTCTGCAGTAGCTGTGGAAGGATTCAGGTAAAAATGTTTACTTAGAATAAAAACATCTAACAGAAGTGACAGGTTTCTGAAATACAATCTTTCCAAAGGTTTTAACTAGGCTTTTAAATCCTCTAAAATTCTTATAATGATTGAAAAAAATACAGTGCTTCCCTATTACCTTAAGGAATCAAAGCAAAGCAAATTGGAAGATTAAATTCTAACACTACCACACTTGGAGAGGCCAAAAGCTTAAAATTTTCTGAGACCCCCAAAAGTTACTGAAATACGCTGCCAACATTTTCCAGAAAATCAGTCCAATAAAAGCGTTTTCTTTTGAAAGCTGGAACAGAAAAGAGTATTAAAACGTTAGAGATGGGTAATTTGGAGTCCTAACTGCAGAGCTCCTATCATGTGCAATGTAATGGCATTACATGCTCTAGCCTATGTAAATGGCAACCATTAACATAAAAGTTCAAAGGATGTCCGAAGTGGCACTTTTCAGAGGCCACCTTCAGCAGGTGACAGAAAAAACTTTATCAAAAAACATGACAAATTGGTAGCTAGATTGCATTTTCTGTGAAAGTGCAACTTATTATCCAACACTGAACTTTCTCTGGTCATCGGGAAAAAAACAGCTGGTTATAAAAATGAATGTGTAGAGTGCTTTCTGTCCAGAGAGACCAGGCTAAAAACGAGACCAAGGATTTTTCTTTTTCAATGATGACATTTAAAAACATTTCATGGATCGTTGTTACTCAGATAGTCACTTCCTGAAGATTATTATATTAAAGTACACTGCTTTATTAAAACACACATTCCTCCCAAGTCCCCCCAACTAACTGACTTCTATATAACATTTCTGCCCCTTCTTTCATTCAATTGTATACTAAAAATGTAAGGATGTGCAGCATTACTCTGCTAGAATCTCTCTGCAGGGACTGTGCCTGACTTTTAAGTGCATTCTTTTTACATTTTGCTTGATACCTGTCAAAAGAAAACTCCCATACCTCCTCACACTGTCCATTCATGACCTCTTTCCCCATCAAATACCTATTAGGATTATCCTCCTTAGAGCTGTCTGAAGTGCAACAGCGTTCCAAAATAAAAGAAAAATATAAATAACTAAATAAGAAAACTATTTTTAAAGTTTCTAACCAGCATAGAAACACTCATTGTTGCAAACAACACTCACCTTTAATTATATCGTGCTTTTACTGTCAAAATCCTTTCACATCTACTACCTCAATCTAGCCTTGCTACCACCCTGTGAGGGAGGGATCATTAGCGGAGAAAATGAAGCGCGACAGGTTAAAACACTGTCCAGAGTCATTGGACTAGTTAACAGTAGCAAGTGTGTCTATGACTCTTGCCCTGTGCTTAAGAGCAGCTAAAGACCAGGGCACTACTGGCTAAGGCTAGAGATATTTGATGCACTATTTGCAAACTATGTTACTCTTTTCTGGTCAACTTTACCTCTCCCATTTCTTTCCCCACTGTTTTAGGTTTAGCAGAGGACCCTTAACTACCTTGTAACAGCCCTGTTAGCAGCACTCAGAAAAAATGGTGTTAATTTATGAACCTGAAAAGTGACTGTAAATGTGTGGTCCAAGATGAGACTGTCAACAAAAAACTCACAGAACAGCAGTGTCCAAAACAGAACTTTCTATGATGGTGGACATGTTCCATATCTGTGCTAAAATGGTAGCCACTAGCCTCATGTGACTTCGAGTGCTTGAAATGAGTATAGTACAACTGAGAAAATGAATTTTAGAACTTTAACTTCAATTTAATAGCCACATGTGGCTAGTGGCATCTACATTACTATAGCACAGTTCTAGAGTCTTCAGACACTTCCCGTGGTATGAATGACAATAAATGTGCCCTGATTACTGGTGTATATACTATGGTATGCTCTATGACACCCTCCCCGGAATCTCCTCAGAAGCAGAACCACCATCATTCCCATTCAACCTAGTATGTTTAAAAACTTCCTTTTTCTCCCCTTAAATGATAGTTGGTGGGGCAAAATAGTCCATGGCATGGTTTTTGGCTCTGCTTGTATAGGTCACATACTTACCAAATTTGAACACTCAGAAGATACTCCCCCAAATTCAGATTCACCACCCAGATTTCTAATAAGGATTCCTCTAATGTTTTTGTTCCTCTTTCCTACCACAACTCATTGCCAAGGCAGCAAAGAATATAAATCCTAAGCATTTAAACTCCCAAATATAAGGTTTCCTGGTCATTTTTAAAAAAGCAGATAACCACAGACCTTTACCCTCCCTTCTCTCATGACGTACTCATTTGCCCAGGCAGATTAAACTTCCCAAAGCACTCAAGCGAATGAAGCCTGCAGGATGAAGTAACCCCCAGTTTGTGATTCTGCACAGTTGCTGAGGCACGTCTTGGCAAATCTCAAGTGGTAAACATGTAATCTTTCTACTATTCACAGTAGTTGAAACAGAATGGAAGACACCGCCAGGCCGGCCCCTGGTCCTGTGTTGTCGCCTCTGCTTAGAGCTAGACCCCACTGAGTCCTGCCACCCAGACAGACCCCAGAGCAGTTCACCTTGAAACTCTGTGTTGTCAAGGCCCCTGATGGCCTCCACTGCATCCTCTGCCCGCTCCATGTGTACAAAGGCATAATCTTTCACGATGTCACATTCGATGACTGGACCATACTCCTCGAACTTGGCCCGAAGCTCTTGGTTGGTACAAGTGGGACTGATGTTGCCCACATGTAACTTGGTTGAAGCTTTGCTCTTATTCTTGCTGGCTTCCACGTTGATGTTCACCCCATGCAGTTTGTAGTGGTGCAGGTTGCGTATGGCATCCTCAGCCGCCGTCTTGTCTTCTATGTGCACAAAGCCGTAGTTCTTGATGATGTCACATTCCAGCACCTTCCCATACTGCTCGAAGAGTGAGCGGATCTCCTGCTCTGTGGCCTCCCGGGGCAGGTTTCCGATGAACAGCTTCACCATCCTGACAAGAGCCTGGGAGAGAATAGGGATTTCCAAAAGTCGGAGGTGGAGTGGGAAATTGTGCACACTGCATTTTGGTTTAATCCTCTTTAGAAGTGCACCTTCAAGATCCTTTCACACATTCGTTATTCTCAAAAGAGGGGAAAGGCTTGTTCTTAAGTACTGTGCGCTGTGTGACACGTAAGGAGGAGGTCGGGTCAGCATGCACCGCACAGCCCATCATCTCCGCGAATTGCATTTAAGAAAACAGGGTCAGCTGTTTCGTGTCTTAAAATGCTCTTTTGGGGGCAGAAAAGAGAAGAGCCCAAGCAGGGGACAAGAGGCATATATCGTACTGTCCATGGTAAGATTTTGGAGGGAAATCTGAGTACCTCTCCTCCGTGCGGTAACACCTTTCAAGATTTTCTCAGACTAAAAAGGTCTCCTCGGTCCCAAACCGGGACAGCCCTGCTACCCCCCATTCAGCGACCCAACCTCAGCTCCACCGCCCCAACAAAGACTCGACCCGACCCCTGCCCCGCCCCCTCCGGAGACCCAGCCCCGCCTCCTCCCGTTGTCTCCGCAGGACCTCCCGCGGCAAGAGAAACCCAAACCTCGGGCCGGCCCCGTCTGCCGAAGACCCGACCCACCTTCGGGGTCCCACACACCCTCGAGACCCCCTCGCACCTCCGGGTGGCGGCGGCGGTGGCGGCGGCTCCCGCGTCAGGAGAACCCTACAAAATGGCGACGGCCGTTCGAGCCTCGGCGCGACCGGGCCCTTCCTCGCACGCCAGCTCACGCACGCGCGAGCGCGCGCTGCTTCCGTCCCTCCGCCTCGCCGGAGCCGGGCGACCAATCCCGTGGCCGCACACAAATGGCTGCCCCGGCCTCGGCTCCCAACCGCCCCGACACGGGGGCGGGGCCTGCCGGGGACGGCGGTGCGCGACGGAGGTTGGCCCGCCCCCAGCCCGGGCTAGCCAATCCCCACCCTGGAAGGGGTCGAGCGTCAGAAGGGCTCGGGACGCAACCACTGCCGAGGTGAAATCAGAACCCCGGGGGAGTCACTAGGCATCACAGTGGATCATGCTATTAGGCCAGCTGCACGGGGAGGGAGGGGCGGGAGATGATGACAAAGGGTCATCCCACCGGGTCCCAGCAAAGGGCTCTCCTATCGGACTGTCCAGCTTCTGTGGCGGCTTGGTACAGCATTTTAGGAATACCGAAGCGCCATATTTTAATCAATCCTAGTCAGTTTTTGTAGAGCTTTAAACAGGATTAAGAACTTTTCATTGCAAACGTATTCCTTGGTGAGGAAACTGAGAATCAAAGATGGCAGAGCTGGGATAGCTCTAAGAGGCATTCTATTCGGGCAACACTTCGTCATGTTTTGTTTGCTCGTGTACACAGTGGGCTGTTTTTCTCTCTTTAGCTAGAGTATTAGCTCTAATAGTGTGTCCTTCACAGTTCCTGGTCCGTGGTGAGCACACCAAAGGAATACCTCGTACAGCGGCCCGGAGAGGTTCCTTGTTTTGGGGGTGTGGGACATGATCTCCACGTCCACCCCAAGCTGTTGGAGGAGTAGGCAACCGTGAGTCCCCAGACACTTTCTAGTATTCAAAATTCAGCTGTGGTCCAAGGGCACCTCCTGGTGGCAAAAGGGAAGCTATTAGGTGGATTACTCACTGTCACCCTTGAACAAAGGACAGACTTTTATAGAGATTGATGCACTGAGTTTATCTCCGAGTAAAGCCTGCCAGGGTGTTGTCAGTCATTTCTCAGTGTGTTGTTGGCTCCATAGAATCTTCTGTGATGGCATCAAGCACAAATTCCCTAGTCTGCCCTCTTCCTCCCCAACTACTATGATGTTTCTTTCCCTGAATTCTTTGTTTCCCAGTAGAGGCACTGTCCTTAACAACTATAATAACTCATGCTTGTCTCACCTGATTCTCTCCCCTTCCCTAATAATGTTGGTCATACCCGGTTTCTCTCTACACTCGGACTTTTAAGGCATGTATAGGGACATCCTACCCGATTTATGAAAGCACTTTCACTCATCTTCACTGTTGTTGTCGAAGTTGGGTTTCTTCCCTGTGTTTCAGGACAGACTTCACAAGTGGAGAGTCTGAACCTGCTATCACCCATCTTCATACACTGTATTTTGGGTTCTATTCTCTCCAATTCCCAAAATTTTCTGAGGTCATCTAATGTCCTTTTAACAGTTTTCACCCTTGTGAAATTTTCATGTCATTCATCATCCGTTTCTCCTCTGTTCCTTCTCATAGCTCTGGCAGCCCTGTTCCACCTCCTTTCCCCAACGATTTCCCTATTCTTATTTATCCCTTTTATTTCCTTTCCCCTTCCTTCATAGACAACCATTATAATGAATTTAATTTGTGTTTTACTTTGTGTTCTTCCAAGACATGTCTTTTTAGTGTGCATTTACTTTTTTCCATTAAAAAAATGTTTTATTGTGGAAATTTTCAAAAAGGGACAAATGGAGAATATTATTATGAACTCCTATGGACTCTTTACTCAGCTTTGACAATTATCAACATTTTGCTTATCTTGTTTCATCTATCCCCTTTATTTTTTGGCTGGAGTTTTAAAAAGCAAATCCCAAATATAATGTAATTTTTCCCATAAAGTCCTCACAATCTGCCTCTAAATGAAACCTCACTGCTATACTAATATCTAATATTTATATTAAACTTTCCCTCAGACTGTTGCAAGTATGCCTTTTTACAGCTGGTTTCTTTTAATAGGTATCTAAACAAGGTCTGCCAATTGCGTACTTAGGCACTTCATCTATGGAAATCCTTATGTAAATTGTGTTGTTTTGCTAATTGGTTCTTTTCTCACTAAGTGCTCTGTTGCTGTGTGACATCTAACCACTGAGTGATCTCCACAGTATACAACCACCGCATGTTATGTGTCATGTCTGAGAGAAAGTTGCCTCCAAGTCCCCAGATATAAACTAGGTTGCAGTTAACATCCTTACGGTAATTATATTTGCCCTAATAGATCCCTGTGAGAATTTGGGGGATATAACCCAGGGTTGGAAGTGCTAGGCTGCTGGGCCGTAGGGTATCCATCCATAGGACTAACTTGTCTAAGTAGTGCCAGGTTCTTCTCTAGAAAAACTACCAAGGTACCCTCTCACCTGCAGCACATGAGGGACCCTGTCTGTCAATGTTTGACATCCAGTTTCCTGATTTTTTACAGCTTCAAGTGATATATCACAGTTGCTTTAATTTGCATTTCTCTGCTTGCTAGTGATTTTAAGCATCTCTTCTTTTTTTTTGCATTTACTTTTTTGGAAATTTCCTGTTCATATCTTTTGCCCATCTTTCTTGTTTGGTTGTAGTCTCCTTTGTTGTTGATGTGCAGGATTTTCTTGTACGTTCCAGGTACTAATCTCTTACTGGTTTCAAGTATCTCCCCTTATTCCACCAAATTATTAATTTTGTCCATGGTGTCCTTCAATGAATAGAAACCCTTAATTTTGTGCTTTTGGAGTTTTGTATAGGATGTCCTTTTCTATACCTCTGAGTCACAAATATATTCTCCTACATTTTCTTCTATTAACATTAATGATTTCACCTTTCACATTTAGGTCTGTAGTCCATTTAGAGCAGTGCTGTCCAAACAGAAATATAATAGGAGCCACATCAAAACTTTCTAGTAACACACTTAAAAAGTAAAATGAAGCAGTTGAAATTAACTTTCTTTTGAAACCCAATATAGCTAAAATATTTCAACATGTAATCCATATTAAAATTGTTGAGATAAAGTTTTTTTCCCCCTCTTCAGTCTTTGAAATCTGGCAAGCATTTCATACTTACAGCACATTTTGGACTAGCCACCTTTCAAGTGCTTGTAGCTACTGTATTGGATAGCGCAAGTCTGGAGCTCACCCTTGTGGGTTGGGAAAGTTAAGAATGCAAACATATTTTTCTCTAAATGACTAATCCATTTTTATCTGTTCATATTTCCCCCTTGATTTGTGGTGCCTGCTTTATCATATTTTTGTATGCTAATCTGTCCCGTCTTTCACTACTCTATTCCACCCTGTCATTGTTCCTGGGACTTTTCTTCCACTCATATCTGAGGGTGTCTCCCTGACCTTATGTTTCCTTCTTTTGTGTCCTGTCCTTGAGGATTCATGCCCTCAGATTGCTTCAGCTGCCGTGTACGTAGATGACGCCCAAACCACATTTTCATTACCTCTCCTCACACATGACCAACTCATTCTGCAGGATCATGTCACTGGGCTTCCCTACTTACACTTACGTTTCACATGTTAAAATGATAATTTCTGCATTAACTTTTCACCCCATATACATTTCCTTCTAAAATTTCTAGTTTATTTCTCCCCCAACCCCAGGTTTGCCACCCTAAGTATAAATACCCAGGTTCCCTGAACACTCCACAGAGTATGACTTTTTCTTCCTTCATTCAGTGGGTATTTTACAGTTGTACTTGAAGAATAAGAGAAGGCTGTAATACTGATGTATTATTCTATTTTGTCCCATGATGGATTGTTCAGTTACATTTATCCAATTGTTTATTGTGGAATACTTCTGAATCTGCTTTTCTCAAGAGAAAGGGATAATTATTCTGTGGGCTATTGGATCTACTAGATCCTATGTTTGGAGACCATCTGGGGCTGTGTTATGCTGGTCCTGACTCTGTCTTTGGCGTGGCTGATGATGGTCAGGGGTCTGCTCAGCCAGGGCCGTTGGCCAATTATGCTAAAAATGGGGTAGATCCAAAGATTTTCTCTATGCCCTGAAAAGAAATGGTTGGTTGTGGAAAACAATAAAATAACACGGCTTTTCTGCAGGAGGTCACCAAGGCAAATACTATTGCCCTGAAAGCTCCAATTGCCAAACCAGAGACAAGGGAGAAAAGCCACCTGCTCCTTTTTTATACTTCACTGGATCTCAAAAACATACTCCTGTGTGTGTGTAGTGGGGTGTAGGGGGGCTTCCTAGGGTGATGTCATTCTTTGGTCAATAGACTGGAACTTGTCACTGATCTGATTCCTATCTGATCTTCTGTATTATAGAGACAGCAGGTGGGGCAGGAATCAGCTGCTATGTGCCCCACTCTCCTCTGTCAGCCTGAGCAGTGGCTGAGACTCAGCTGTGCGCTTCAGTCTTTCATTTTTGAACACAGAATCGTGGGTGAATAAAGCTCTATACCAGGAAAGTAGCCATTCACTGCCTATTAACATTACTACTGCTTATAACATCATCCTGACCTATGGTGAACTTCTTAGGTCTAAAAAGAGGCTTGACGTGGGTCAACCCAGCAAACTGGAGGTCATTATCATGGGGAAATGAGGCCAGGGTAACCTGGTTCTTCAAGGGCTTGGAGGCTGGGGGCAGAGTGGAAACCTGACACATGGGAGACCAGAGCCCCAAGAAAGCGAGCACATGGGCCTCGGCAGAAAGGCTCATGGGCGGGAAAGCAAAGAAACCCACAGGCAGTAAGAGAAGCTGAGCTCTTTAATCACCTCCTTGGCCAGACTCAAGGCTGTGGTCGCCCCTGAATAGCTCACACCTGGAAGCCACTCAGCATGGTTAGACACGGAGTGGCCACTCAAGTCAGAGGATGAGGAAGGATGGGAGTGGGGAGCTTCAGCGTCTCTGACTCCGCCATCTGGCAGTGTCGCCCCCAGGTCCTGCTTCAGCTCTGAGAGGTTCCTAGCTGTTCCCGGGGGCAAGGAACCCGGTGGCATGCCCTAGCTGTGGCGGGAGAAGGACCCTGAGGCAGGGGTCGCCATTCCCCATGTGGCCTATGTTGAGGGTGTGGTGCTTGGCACACCAAGGTGGGGACAGAGGTGTTCACAGGGTTGGGGGAAGGAGGAAGAAGTGGGGGGAATGGAACTGGGGGTTGCCTGGGCCCCACCACCAGTCTGGAATTAAATAGCAGAAGAGGAGGGTTGCCCTTGGGAACACCGACTTGTCCCCAGAGACAGTTCCTGGTGATGGTTGACCTTGGCAACAGGCCCTAGCAGCAGGCAGTTGTCTTGACAAGAGGGTGGTCCCTGTCGACAGTCCCTGGCAGTTTCCTGAACAGAGAAAGGGAGCTGGCCTGGGGGTCTTGCTTGCCCCCAACTACTTGCTCTTCTTGAAGAAGCTGAAGCGTTTTTCTCGCTCTCGTTCTCTGCCATCCTTGCTTCGAAGCACAACAGGCCCCTCAGCACCGACTGGTGATACTGGGGGCATGGTCATGGCCCGGGTCATGCCCCGGGTGGCACTGGGCACCGCTGGCTCTTCCAGCTCTCCAGAGGCAGAGGATGCAGCGGCTATGGCTGCATTCACCACCCGCAGCCAGGAGCTCATCTCTGCCTGCAGGGGGCATGGAAAGACAAGAGGTCAGCGTCCAAGAGGAAGCAGCGTGGAGGCAGCCAGCCTGCAGACCGCCAGCAGGGAGCCTGAAAGGAGGAGGCTGAGAAGTGATTTCACTGTTTCCTCTTGTTGGAGAAAAAGACCCCTTTAAAATAGGGAACATGATGTGTAGCCTTCACAAATATCCAGTTGGCACAATGTGGGTTGTCTGATTACAAAGTATGAGACATTTAAGACAAGGAAGAAGAAAAGAGGGGGAGAAAGGGAAATCTGCAACTGCAGGGTCACGGAGGGACAGGGACATGGAGGAGAAGGGAACAGACAGCTCACCTCATCCTTGGCCTGGAACAAATATTCTTTTCCATCCTGTAAGCTGTTGGGAGAGAGAGAAACCTCAGGGCAGAGCTGAGAATTCGGACTGGCCAGGTCAGTGCTGGGGAGAACCAGCTGGAGGACGCGCGGCTGTGGCCCTCAGCGCCCGCCCCGTCCCACACGTCCTGCGCGTTCTGCAGAGTCCCTGGGCTGTCCAAAAGCAAATCCTGGATGGCTGCGAGGACTGGGCCAAGCTCACTCCCATCCCAGGCCTGCCTCCTGCTCCGCTAGCTGGCGGGCAGGGAGCGGCAGGTCCCTGGAGGCTCGTGGATGCTGGGGAGTGCCAGCACCCTGCCTTCAGATTTCCCATCCAGCACCATGTCCCAGTTTGACACCATCAGCTGTCAGGCCTGTCTTGGAGGTCCCACTCCCCTTAGTGTGTACTACAGTCAGAATCCCCACTGCCCCGTCCCTCATCTTCCCCTTGGTCCCCAAATGCCTGGCGCTGTTCCCCCCAGATCCAGCCCATGGCTCCCTTTCACCTCGTCCCACTCTCCCACCACCCTGAGGGCATGGGTCCTTTCCTACCCCAGCTTGAAGACATGTTTGCGCTTTCGATACTCAAAGGCGACGCTGCCCTGGGCCCTGGCCAGGCTGACCGGCACTTCACCGTGGTATGGCACTCCCATGCTGGCTGCCTTGGCGTCCTTGTAAAAGCCGAGGCTCCCACGCCGCAGGACACAGTACACATTCTGCCATGACCTGGGAGCAGACACGGTGCAGATGACAAGGCAGGACAGCTGACTGGCCGGCCTTTGTGGGGCCTGTAACCCTGGGAATAGCTTGGGTGCCCTGGGGCTGCCAGTGCCACTCCCGGCATCGGCCCGGCATCTTTCCACCCTCCTGGCCCTCAGAGAAGAGTGGGGGCTCTGCCCCTGAGTCCTGCCCGTTTCCCAGAGGGTGCTCCCCCTACAGGGCACTGCTCCTCCCCACCTCTAGGAAGAGGTCCCAGGGTCGCCTCTTCTGAAGGCAGGACCAGAGGAGCCCCAGGCACTGCGTCGCCAGGCCCACTACCTGTTGGCAGCTTTCCTGCCGAAGGCCTCCATCTCCTGTTTGCGGCACAGCATTCCCTCCATCTGCTCTTGGGCAGAGAGCTCCGGGCCTCGAGGGGGTGAAGTGGACACGGAGGGACAGGGACATGGAGGAGAAGGGAACAGACAGCTCACCTCATCCTTGGCCTGGAACAAATATTCTTTTCCATCCTGTAAGCTGTTGGGAGAGAGAGAAACCTCAGGGCAGAGCTGAGAATTCGGACTGGCCAGGTCAGTGCTGGGGAGAACCAGCTGGAGGACGCGCGGCTGTGGCCCTCAGCGCCCGCCCCGTCCCACACGTCCTGCGCGTTCTGCAGAGTCCCTGGGCTGTCCAAAAGCAAATCCTGGATGGCTGCGAGGACTGGGCCAAGCTCACTCCCATCCCAGGCCTGCCTCCTGCTCCGCTAGCTGGCGGGCAGGGAGCGGCAGGTCCCTGGAGGCTCGTGGATGCTGGGGAGTGCCAGCACCCTGCCTTCAGATTTCCCATCCAGCACCATGTCCCAGTTTGACACCATCAGCTGTCAGGCCTGTCTTGGAGGTCCCACTCCCCTTAGTGTGTACTACAGTCAGAATCCCCACTGCCCCGTCCCTCATCTTCCCCTTGGTCCCCAAATGCCTGGCGCTGTTCCCCCCAGATCCAGCCCATGGCTCCCTTTCACCTCGTCCCACTCTCCCACCACCCTGAGGGCATGGGTCCTTTCCTACCCCAGCTTGAAGACATGTTTGCGCTTTCGATACTCAAAGGCGACGCTGCCCTGGGCCCTGGCCAGGCTGACCGGCACTTCACCGTGGTATGGCACTCCCATGCTGGCTGCCTTGGCGTCCTTGTAAAAGCCGAGGCTCCCACGCCGCAGGACACAGTACACATTCTGCCATGACCTGGGAGCAGACACGGTGCAGATGACAAGGCAGGACAGCTGACTGGCCGGCCTTTGTGGGGCCTGTAACCCTGGGAATAGCTTGGGTGCCCTGGGGCTGCCAGTGCCACTCCCGGCATCGGCCCGGCATCTTTCCACCCTCCTGGCCCTCAGAGAAGAGTGGGGGCTCTGCCCCTGAGTCCTGCCCGTTTCCCAGAGGGTGCTCCCCCTACAGGGCACTGCTCCTCCCACCTCTAGGAAGAGGTCCCAGGGTCGCCTCTTCTGAAGGCAGGACCAGAGGAGCCCCAGGCACTGCGTCGCCAGGCCCACTACCTGTTGGCAGCTTTCCTGCCGAAGGCCTCCATCTCCTGTTTGCGGCACAGCATTCCCTCCATCTGCTCTTGGGCAGAGAGCTCCGGGCCTCGAGGGGGTGAAGTGGCAGCCCGCGCTGCCTCAGACGACCTGCTCTGAGGCATTACAGGAGGTGCCGGGCCCCGTGTCCGGGTCTGCTTCTCTCCCCGTGGCCCATTGGCCTCGTCTCCTGTGCCAGTGCCCTGTGAGGAAAACGGTGTCAGTGTCAAAGGGTAAGATGGGGCAACCTGGCCTGAATGTCATGAAGCTTGAGGCTCAGGTGCTGGTCTTCCTGCCTCCGTTTCCCTGAGCCTCTGCCCTCTCCTATCCCTGGTAGTCCCACAATTGGCTCATACCCCTCTTTGTCCTTCAATCTCCCAGTTCCTAACACCCACACCTCCAGGAGAAACTCACAGGCTCTTCTGGGAAGCTGCCCTGCTCAAGTCTCTGCTGGTCCAACAGGGGCTAAAAGGACAAAAAGATGTAAGAAGATGTGCGAGGGGGGCTAAGACTGGTGGGGGTGCAGGGGACAGCGGGGTCACCTGTGAGGACTCTGCATCTGTGCAGACTCCGTTAACACTGGTTGGCTGTGTGGATGCTGGCCGCCGGGGGTGGGTTCTGGAACGGCAGGTGACACGGAATGGTAAGTCCTCAGGTGGCCCAGGTTCAGCCTCCCCCCGACCCCACGCCAGGCAGCCCAGCTCTCACCCGTCCCAGGCAGGATTAGGCGCCCCCCAGCTGTCCGCCAGGTCCCCCTCGGGCAGACTGGCTGTGCGCCCTGGGGCGGGGGGCTGTTGCCTCCGTTCCTCCTCCGCCCTCCTCTTCCGCTCCTTCTCCTGTTCCTCCAGCTGTCAAAAAACTCTGAGGTCAGAGTGTAGAAGGTCTCAAGAGGACCAGGGCATTGAGGAAAGCTGAAATGTCTTAGCTCCAGTCTGAGGAATGGAAAGATGGAAAAATGTAATTCCAAATGACAGTAGAGATCAGAAGCAATGGGGGAAGTGGTGTCTCTTAGCGTCACCCAGGCAACTGATAACTCTGCGGTGACAGCGCAGCATTCCGGGCTCATGTCTGGGAGATGTGGTGCAATGGGAAGGAAAGAAATATCTTCTTCAGTAGGAGAGAGCACGAGGGCTGGGGCAAGTGGGACGGGGCAGGCACTCCCGCGGTCCCACAGCCCTCACCGCCGTGAGCTTCCCCAGCGCACTGAAACGCTCCTCCCAGGCCACTGCGGACTTCTGGAAGGCCTCGTGCCGCTTGATGAGGCTCTCAACCTCATCAACTGTGCAACCCAGCTCAGCACTTCGCACCAACGGTTCTTGGCTGCACAGCCAGGCCTCCACCATCCCTGCATCTCTCCCAAACACGAGCACCTCCAAAACTGCAGGGATTAGGGTGGACACAGAGAGATGGCAGGTCAGAGTGGGC